CTGTTGTTTCCTCGGTGCTTCCTTCCCCAATAAATATATATAATAGTATAATGTAAATCACCTAGCTATAAATTAATTAAAAATAAATAAATAAATTTCATTTCACAATATTGAGAGAGAATTGACAATAACAATCCCTGATCAGGCAGCAGCATGGTAGGAGCACCAATTTCTTCATATTCCGGCGGCGGCCACCCGACCGGTATATATGAGAGCCCTCCCTTTTGCTAGTGTGTTTTCATTCATATTCATGCATATTTGTATATATTGAGCTTCGTCTCGCTTGCAGGCGCTAACCCAGCAGCAGGTCAACAACAACAACAACAGCAACAACAAGCATATGCACCTCTCTCGACGCTCCTTCCCTATGATGGGCGGGACCCCACACCAACGCCTCTAAACACGACTTACCTTTTTCCCCCAACACCTCCTAATTTCCCGGCTGCCACCACACAACCACCACCTTTCCCACCTTGCTCCACCCTTGTCCAGCCTCAACCAAATGCTTATCCCCCACAGTACCCTGCCCACTATCCACCGGTAACCCAACATTCGCCTCAACCACCGCCAGGCTACCCTTCACCGCCCATCAACTCACACCCTCCGACTCCGACTGCTTATCCAACAGGTAAATAACTTTTTTAGATACACAAACTATACAAAGAAACTTATTACTTTGCTTCTTATATATCAAGTAAATCATTAAAATTTAATCTTCGAATCGTAATGTTTACGTGTGCAAATGACGGATTGATGTAAAGTGTATTTGTACCTATACTGCAAAATTGGAAATTCGTCACCTTAACTTAATCATTGTTGGTACAATTAAATTGCAGGTCAGCATACAGGAAACTACACTACTTCACCTGCATCTGCCTATCCACCCACTTGCACGTCATACTCGCAGGCTAATCCTACAATCACAGCACCAACTTATCCCCCAACGGTCTATCCATCGCCGCCACCCTCTTCCGGAGCCTATCCTCCGCGCTATTAGTGGCGAAACTAAGTATCAATGATGTTATCCTTAATATCAAACAATCACTTCGTATGAATTTCTAATTTGTGGAGATCCATTTAGCTTTCATGCGTCCTCCTCAGTTATTATCATATTCTACTCCATAATGTGTGTTACAGAATTTACAGTTGACCATCCAAATCATGTTATTTTTATTTTTAATTTTGATTATCAACAATTAGTAGAAATTTTCAGCTTTATTGGATGTTTAGGATTATTTATATAAATTTTTCAATTTAGTATATATGTGAAAATCTGAATGAGTAGTGATTTATTTTATAATTTCAGTTTTAACTATTTATTGACATATATGGACTTGGAATTTTTTTTTTTTTTTTCGGA